TCATTGTCCTTTCCTAGTATGTTTTGACTGACATTGAAACTCAAGTCTTTATAGATTTATAGAAGCAAAATAAGAAACATTTCCAGTTGCTGCTCCACTATCGTCTTTAAAACAAGATAACATTGCTTTCCTGATAAAAGCTGCCCCTACATTAGTGGGAAGTAGGTGGGTAAGAGTACCAAGATTGCTCCAATAAATCATGAGTTATGTTTGTACAAATAAAAGATTGGTATGCTTCCATGCTACTGACTGAAAACTGATGACTAAGTGGAAATGGAATAGCCACTAATTCTGATTTGACTTTCTTATCTTAGCCTATCATTGGCTTAGGTAAACATTAGTCATACAGAAAATTTGGGTAGATCTGTCATTTTTTTAAGCCAAAGTGCTTTTTTCACAAATTAGCTCACTAAACCAGCAAAAGGATTTATTCCTTTTAAGTCAGAAACTTTAGTGACACAATTAATGTTTTCTGTAGCTCAGATTGAGGTGAAAAATAGTTTCAGTCTGGAGAGTCCTTGTTCTACAAATACACATGTAAGTCTCTCACCATTAGACATTACAAACATAAAATAGAAGAGATATGTTTTGAGTAGAGGCAAGGGAAACAAATGATAAAACAGCTCTATTATCACATCAGTTCAATTTGCAGCAAAGGTATATGTTGAGTCTCTCTAAAACTTCCCTTTATTACCTGCTATTCTCCTTGGATATTTTCTACTGAGTTGTTATAATTTAAAAAACCCCTTCAGGGCTCTTGTGCTTCTCAAAAGGATGTGTAAAAGAGTATGTCTCCCAAAATAAATATCTGCAACCAGCACCTTACCTTAGACTACATGTCAATATGCACTAACTTTGTATTCAGAGACTGCATCTAATTTAGACCTGAAGGTGACACAGGTGAGTAATATTTGCAGCAACAAAAAAGGAATAAAGCTACAGAGGAACTAATTTGTTAGTTAAAAAGTGCATCAGCTGGAGAATTACAGCATCTCTTGTAGTCTGGGTATTGTAATCTTTCCTTTTCCTAAGGATCCAAGAATGAAATTCCATGTCTCTTCCATGAAAAAGAACAAAAGTAGGAGCCTTATACCATTTAACTTGTTTTGATAAGATACTGGTGAGATGGCCTGGCTTACACACACAAATGAAGAATAATTCTCACGTTAAAGGAATTTTCCTGGTATAAAGATGTGCATGAAAACAGACAAAAATTAGGTATAATAATTAAGGTATTATAAAATAAAAGGCTATGAACTATTACCCAAGAATAATCAGAGACACAATTTAGAAGTTGATCTGATAGCTATACCAGAATTTTAGACAGAAGCTGCTATGTATATCTTTATTTTAAAATCTATTTATGGTTTGGGTGTGGGGATGGAGTGCACCCTCGGCAAGTTTGCAGATAATACCAACTTGGATGGGAGGCACTACAGAGGGACCTGAACAGACTGGATCAATGAGCTAAGGCCATTGATGTGGTTCAATAAGATCATGTGCTGGTCCTGCACCTGGGTCACAAGAACCCCATGCAGAGCTACAGAGTGGGGAAAGAACGGCTGGAAATGTGCCTGCAGGAAAAGAACCCGGCAGTGCTGGTTAACAGCAGCTGAACATGAGCTGGAGTGGCCACAGAAGGCCAATGGCATCCTGGCCTGTATGAAAACATGTGGCCAGCAGGACCAGGGCAGTGATCTGTTGCACTTGGCATCGGTGAGGCTGCACCTCGAATCCTGTGTTCAGGCTATGAGAAAGGTTACAGCTCATTTCCTCAGCCCACAGATGCAATGAAGGACTTACACCATTCGTTTTTGAGCAAGCAGGTGTCTAATCCTTCTCTGACCAGAGAAGGATGAAATCACCCTTGGTAAAGTTCACAGAGAGACTCACTATGTTCTCAAAATAATTCTTATTCACCCTATTTCTTTAACTCAGGTGTGCTTAAATAGGTGAAAAACTTTTGATAAGAGTTAATAATGTGGATGTGTTCCTACAATGAAGAACACAACTTGCAGTTTTGTCCTAGAACAACTTCAATAGCTTCTCAAATCCAGACTGAAGCAATTTACGAAATAATCACTGTGAAGCAGTCTCCTGTGCCCTGTACCGACCTGTCTTTGTCCTGTGGGCAGGAAAACATGCGTATTCCCATTAAGACATAATATTACTTCAAGAAACAACACCAAACTTCACAATAATAGCAACACATTTCCCAAGCATATTTTTTGTCTTCCTTTATGATCTCTACCTCACAGCTTTATAGAGTGTGTTGCACTTTATGAAACAGGAAGCTTGGAAATAATCACACAGCTCATGAAATCCTTTTCCATCAAGTTGCAGTATCCATGATGCCACCATTAGATAGCACTGACCAATAAACACATCAGTAGGAACTCCAGAGTTGATGGATGAGACCAACAGGCCAATAGTAATTAGCCACAGAAAGCTGGTAAGACTGAGGGTAATACCAATGTTTTAGGTTTGTACATCTAATTTGAGGAATTTGCTAAACAAAATGTTTTGTTATATACCCACTGAGCCTCATCTTTTGTGGCTCCACCTCAGAGGAAACATTTAGACAGTAAACGGTGTAGCACTCTTAAAAGCTATAAGAATTTATAGGTTCAATTTTTAATTTCAGATACATGTGAATAGTTTCTGACTCATGGATAAAGCTGCATCATTTTGAATGACATTAGTCCATAAAAGACAGGAGCTAATGTAAATGGCTCAGCTGACCATACCATGAAAGAGTTCATGCACATTATTAACACAATCTAAATGAAGTTAATAATTCTTTCGTGAGGTACTGAGTAGCAGAGTGTATAGTAGTATCAGGCATATACCATGGGATAATATTTTTCAAATATTCTTTTATTCAAATAGCTTTCCTTATCTGGCTATCACCCAGCCCTCATATTACTAATTTATTTTAATTCAATTTATTAGAAAATTCAGCTATGTTAAACAAGTTTGTTTGTACAGCTGTAATGGGATTTTCTTGTTATTTTCCATAACTTGACTGTTGACATAAATTTGTTAGTTCTATTTGTCTCAGATTGCCAAGCTCTCAGGACAGAGAAAAACTAATTTTCATCAAGAAGTTTCACAATAATGAACTATTTGTGCCCAGGATGTTCTGGGTCAAAATCCAAGTAAATTTTCTCAGCCATCTACTCATTAATGTGTGGTAATTGTTAATGTCTACTGCTTATTTAAATAATTCATAGAAACAATTTCTTTAACGAGAAGTGCCACTTTTACAAATTCATTATTTTTGCCAAACCATACTGATAGCAACTGCATTTCATATATAAAAAAGAGCAAATTAGGAACAGAAAAAAGAAAATCTCACCTTGCTTATTCTTTATATTCCTTGAGATATTAGGAACTGAGGCATGAGTATGCCATCAGAAGAATGTGCAGAAAAATCAAAGTATTTTAAGATTAAACAGTTGAAACTTAATATTGAGTAAACAATTTCTGTTATTATTAAAATAGTCAAATAATTCAAGTTATTATTGGTCACTTAATTTCCTTTGCAACAAATTCACTTCCCTGCTACAGAAAGCACAAAAGTACACAGAGTGTTGCAAGGCATTTCTTTGTACAAAATGCTTGGCATATTACAGATGCCCCAAGAAATCCTTAAAGAGTCTAGCAACAGTAATCATAGTAATAACAGATCTATTGCCTTAGGAAAACACAGTTTAAAAAATCTGGTCAGACCAGTGTGCAAGAAGCTGTAAGTAATGCACTGATGGCATTACATGGCCTATTGCTTGGAGAACACTGCTCCAGGAAATGTCTTTGAATAATGCCATCCCACAGACTGACTTTGCTGCCTTGCTTTTGTCACTTGAGTTCTTTTATTTCACTCATCTATATGACTTTTCCTAATGAAGTTTGAAAGCAATCTCCCCTTGAATACAATTGAAGTTATTTTATCTGTTTTTCTCTTGAACCCAAAAAGTAGGAGCTATAAAACTTAAAATTACTGTTCAACAGCTATGATAAAAGAACAACCCATCTAACACAGATGCTTCAGTTTCTACAAACAATCAGAAAAATAAATTTCACCAGCCTGCAACACTGAAAATGAGCAAGCCATATACATTCTTTATGGCTTGTTACAGCAAAACACTAGCTACACTTCACCTTTTCCTGACATAGCCATTACACACTTGGGGTTGGATATGAGCAATACAGCTCAGAGCTGTAGTGAAAGACTTCTGAATCCTACCAAATATCTTGCTGTACTGCACATTACTACTGTATATACATTACGGGTAAGTCTCCAGAGATGGACTCCAAAGATTATCATTGACAGCCTACATAGGTAATTAAAAATAGCTTCCAGAGGTAAAAGTTGCATTATGTAACAGTTAGATTTTACTTAAACATTCATGACAAAGTACTAGAAGAAAAAAATATTACTTTTTTTTCTTTTATTTTGAATTCACGTGAACAATGTTTACAGTATTATGTGGGAAAAGTGCAGTCCTTGTTTTTAATAATAAACTTCTCTAAATAACAGCGTTACAGTTTGATTTGGTATGACTTCATGGACAAATAAAAACCATTCTTTTGCCTCTGCATAAAATCTGACACGCCATTGGGCTGAGTATCATTTTAGACTCATTACATGAAAGATGACCTCATCTATAAGATGAGCCCTATTATACTACATAAAATTTACTAGACTATGAAAAAATAGTCATTTTTTTCTTCACAATAGTAATCATATTCACTACAGTGGAATTTCAAATAAGTATAAAGTTTTCAAAAGTGATCTATTTGATAAATAAGCAGTTAGGTATGTTAACTAGGTAACATACCATACGTTAAACACCCTGTTGGTTCCAAAATCCTGGAAATATGCTGAGATGGAACATCGGCAAAACAAACTCACTAGTTCTGCAGGCACCAGCAGCAGATGATATTTCAATAGAAAGGAAAGAGAATGCAGTATTTTAGTGGTATGAACAGATCCTTACCTAGTGGCTGTCCAGCGATGATCCTGGCATTCTCTCCTGCCACTGCGGCCCTGGCGTGCCTCTCGCTCATGTACTGTACGAAGGCATAACCTTTGTGCACCGAGCAGCCCACGATCTTCCCGTACTTCGCAAAGATTGCTTCAATGTCACCTTTTTTGACAATAGCAGTGTTCAGATTACCAATGAAGACTCTGGAGTTGATGGACTTTGGGTCGTTCTTATTGGTGACATTGCTGGTCTGTGTTTTGCCAGTCATGGTTGGATCACTTGGCTTTAAACCTTAAATAAAGAACAAAGAAAATTATGTTTCTAAGCATACAGTTACCCTGACTTTGGATGATTTTTCCAGCAATAATTAACTTTTAATTTTTCACTTTGGGTGAATCTCAACTCAGAAGAATCAAACTATCAATAAAATCAACATAGAACATTTTAAAATACTGCTCAAAAGTAAAATTTAAACTTCTTATTTTTTATAGATGTGAAATATACCAATACATCACTTAATATAATGCTGTGATAGCAGAGCTTTACTGTAATCATATGTGGATTTCTCCTTAGAAATTCAATATTGACTTTTTAAGTACTTAGCCAACTAGAGACTGCAAAGCAAGAGACTGAATCATTATCTACTGTCAAAGAAATGAACATTCAAGGCCATGTAGAGAGCAAACTCTTAAAATGAAAAACAACTCTGCTTTTGTTTGGTGTCAGTTAGAGCACATTTCTCACCAGTTAAATATTGCTGTGAAGTGTGCAAGGCAGGTAACATACAATTCTTTACTGCAATCAATATGTTTCTATCAGAACAATTTTCCCTGTAAATTCAGTACAAAAAAAGAAGTGAGAAAAGACAGTGGCTTGTGTTCTGAGAATTAAAAAGTAGAAAAATAAATCACTTTAACTCTAGGAACACAGATTTTCTTGCTTCTTTGATCTTTTTTTGTGAGGTCACAAGTAGAAATGCATTCTAGTAAAGCTCTGATGGGAATAACCACATCATTTCTGGAAAAGATTTTATAAAAGAAGGAAAAAAATCTCAACACTTCTTGAGTTCATCTAGCCTCACCCCTCTGAAGTGCATGTGATTTTCATAATTTGTATGCAAATTCCACCTGCCAGCAGGTCTCTCTATTTACATCAATTTACTTGGATGGAAATTAAATAAAAGAAATTGTCCCACAGCTGCACTGTATTTTCTTTAGCTTTAGTAAGCCAAAGAAATGTCAAAAATATGCATAGCTTTAAGTAGAGGAAACTTATTTTTTAAGAAAAAGGTCATTTAGGCAACAGTCAAATATAGGCCATATCTTACAGCCAAGAACTATGTAACTATTTTTAACCTATTCATACTTTTGATTAGATCAGAGTAACAACTCAGGCAAGAAGAGAATCCATTTATATACTTTTCATAGTTAAACCTTAGTTCATTCCTCAGAATGAAAAGGTATAATAACCTCTATTCCAAACATCTAAATCAGAAGTTTTGTATTTTACGTCAGTAGCAACCATAGATGAAGCTAGAAAAAGGAACCATTGTCACTGAACTCTGCAGAATACCTGCTGAACAAAACAGCCAGAGTCGCAGCCATCAGCACTTTGACTGCCTCCATCCCAGAGGATCCAAGACCCACCTTCCAGACTGGAACATACAACAGAAATGTATGGACAGTCCTCCTAAGTCTCAGCAAAACAGCCTGCTTTATTAAATGAACGTATGCAGCAGAGCTGCCAGTCAAATAGCTTTCACTTGATTAACAACTCGGCATGGCAACTTTATGTTATAGCATTTAGAGAAAGCACTGAAGAAAATAAGAAAAAGGGTGTTTTCCTCTAAATTTATGTATTTTTAAATACATTGTGGAAACATAACGTACTGTATATATGCACAAATTTCATCCTGGAAAACCAGGAAAATTGTCTTGAACACAAACCTCTGACCTTTCTATGTTGCTGTGCAGATTGTGCATGTTTGAAGTCATGTCTGTATATAGCTAACCTGAATATTGTGAACATTCAGTGTAGTATGCTTAATACTATAATATTATCAATGCAAACCATTTACAAAATGTAAATATAATAAATACTAAGATCCATTTTGGCATAAAGTAGACTGCTGATGTTTTCTGAGACCCAGTAATTTTATGTTACACAGGAGTCAAAATGAAAACAACACAGCCATGTTAGCTTAAAGAGCCCTACTGACCTAAAATGAAGAGGTAACAGAGAAGAGTAACAAGGAATAAGAGTAGCAAAGTATAACAATAACAAGGTTAGTGCAGTTGCTGATGGACAGGGAACAACTGGTATCCCCTGTGCTGCTGAGCTGCGCAGCGCTTCAAATACCACTCTATTGGGAAAACTTACCATGGAGAGTATTGTGTTTGTCTTTGTGAAGCTCCAGGGGAAAAAAGCTATATCTGTTCTTATACAGTTCTTAGCATCTTGTTGATACTATGGACATTTATTGAGCCTGTAGCTGAAGTTATTTTACTTACACTTAGTTTATCACAAGTATGACTGACTGTCTCTTCCACTAAACTGTTGCATGACTCTTCAGTAAGATGCTTCTAGTGCCTCTGTTTCCACTTTTTATTATTCAGACCAGCATTTTTTTTGACTAAGTGCTGTCTCAATGTTTTTTTATATAACTTCTAACACAACGATGTGACCTCAGTTGGAAGTTTAAGCATGACCAAGAGACCATTAAAAAAAAATCCATGGAGAAAACGATCTACAGAAAATCTGCCAGAAGTCAAGACTCCCATGAAAATTATATGCAAATAAAGACTTTATTACAACCAATGTTTTCTACCACATGCATTACCACCACAATGCTTTCTAAACACTCTACTACACTCTGTATTTCTTCTGTTGTTTAGCCATTTAACATGGGATTTGGTGAACTATTGTTATTTAATAGAAATACTCATTTTTGCCCAGGTTTTCTATGTACTATTTAAAATAGACTTTGAATAGGACATTAAATATTTCTCTGTTGTAGTTGTTCTTTGCAATGCAAATTTACAATATTTTTATAACACAAAGAAAAGTAGTTGTCTGGTGGGTTCTCTCATATTCAAATGAGCAGTTAGGAAAACGTGATGCAGAAATTCAAAGGGTGCAAATAATACTAACATGAATGACTGAGATTTGATTGCCTTGCTGGTCACAATACAACTGTGAATATTTCATAAAAAAATCAAAGATCTGTGGGATCTTCATTACAATGTGAAAGAATTTATGGCAGCTTCTACACCTCACTTTCAATATACATCTGTGAATATTGAATTATACCCATAATCTCTGAGCTACCAGCAAAATCACAAACATTGTACCTCATAAAAATGCAGAAATAAATGAAATAGTGAGAGAAACATATCTGAAATAATCTCATTTCCTTGTAGCTTTTAATAAGGTATCTTGCAAATTTCCTATTATTGAAGTGATCCTTTCTGGTAATAAATGCCTCCTATATGCCAAGTATATATTTTAAAAAATGGTTTACAAATAACATTTAGCTGTCAGTGCACTTCATATTTATTTATTCAGTGCACTTCATTACATACATCATTGTTCTATGCGATAGCTGATTTAATTGTTCTACCAAGAAGTAACTAGTTTGTCTTGGTATAGTTAAAAAGAAAAACTTATGAATTAGGTAATTTCATACATCTATAAAATTCTTTCTTAAACATTAACATTTCTTAAACATTGACATTTCTATGTCAAACCAGAATGAAAATACAAGTTGCTAAAATGAGATTCTTATAATCCAAGACATACAAGTGAAAAGTTTAAACCAGTCAATTTGAAGTGCAAAAGATGGGAGTAGAATTTAAGTCTTGGCTTCCTTCACTTTTCCAGCATTTTCTGACAAAGTTTAGCTAAGCACCAGCTGGAGAACGCATTGCTTTGTAGCTGTGAAACTCATCATCTTTCCATAAGATGCATATTTGAAGGCACGGCTCTGTGTCACAGCTGCTTTCCCTCTGGGGCTGTGCCTGGGACCAAGGGAAGACAACAAACCCTTTCCAGTTGTGCCATGGCCCAGTGCACGGAAAACACAAAACTTGAAACAAAGATAAAAGGAACAACTTGTCAAACGCTACATTCCCGTAACTCCCGACCTTTTCTTTTAGGGAGTAGAGTCAAGGCACGATCATAAAAATCCTGTTGGACTTCTGCTCCCTGCACTGCTTTATGCACTTCCACAATCATTCCTCACATCGTAAAATGCAAAATTTGCCTTTGAACTGATTTGGTCAAATTGCAAGAAAAATGTAAAGATATAGAAAAGTTTAAGGATATAAGTTAAAAGGATTTTGAAAGCAATTAATTTTAGCATTTTCCTGATTGTATAACTGTTTCTTATTTTAAAATACTGAGAGGAACTCATGCCCTCTAATTAAAATTTCTACCAAGTACTGAAATATTGTCTCTGGAATTGCCCTTATGCATTTTCCGCTGAATTAACCAATGAGGCTAAGCTGTAACAACTCTGTTGTTACAGAAAATAATTAGAAAAATCAGATAAATCTCTTTAGAAGACTAGGAAATATTTATATTGATGACTTGGGTTTTCTCTCTTATTATTTTCTCTCATTTTTATTTTTTCTTAAGAATTATACCTAATTTTGCTTCAAAAAATTGTCTTCATTAAGTTTAGTAATACTTTTGGGAGTTTCCATGTATTTATGTTCTTTCATCTTGGAGCTGTTTCTTTCCTTTCAACAATAAAACTTTTTAACTAAATGGAGGAGTCTACATATTTGAATAAACTAAGTATTACTTACAGTGTCTTTGGGAAAAATAGGTTCTACTGAGGAAAAATTAAAATAACAAAATTGAAAATCTTTAAGGAATATAAATCCTCTCTGAAAATTAAATAAAACCGTGTTACTCTTATAAAAATTTAATAGCAAACTTTTATGTGTTTATATTTTTTAAAAAGGAAACAGGAAAAAATAAAATTCACTTTCATTTCCCTTCTCTATGCCCCACTCCCCCCCGCCCCCGCCAAAAAAAAAAAAAAAATTATTTTCTGATCGTGTTTAGAGCTGGGCCAATAAGTAATGAACAGCCTGTATTAGATTTGTATGGTAGCAAAAGAGTAATTCTGTGGAGGAAGATTTTTAAATATCAACATTTCAATCACTGACAAGATACTCTAAGTACCATTAAATTCCAAATCTTAATTTTTACTATTTGTTATAAGATGCTTGCACACTAAGAGTCATTGTGCACATCTGATTATTGCAAATCCTTCTTAAAAAGAT